ACACATGCTACATCATGGATGCATTCTGAAAGCATCATGCAAAATAAAAGCAGGGAGATACAAAGGACCACATATTGTCTGATGCTTTTCATATAAAAATTTCAGAATAAGAAAATCCATAGAGATTGAAACTAGATTAGTTTTGGCCAGGAGTTGAGGGAAAGGGGAAATAGGGGGCGGGGAATATGACTTTTTTTTTGCAACGATGAGAATATTCGAAAATTAGATAGTGGTGATGATTATGCAACACTGCGATATATTTGAAAATTGCTGAATGTACACATTGAAAGAATGAGTTTCATGGTATATGAATTATATCTCAAAAAAGCAGATATTTAGAAAAGTACATGAGAGGGATAATGCATTTTCATCTGAAATAGAAGATTTAGGATCTAGTTATCAAAGATGTGATAAGAGAACAGAACACCCTAAGCTTTCAGCACATGAATTTACTCTCTTGTCACTTTAACTTCTTATCAGAGTTACTAGGTTATTTTATTGTGTTCCATGTTATCTTTTACCCAAAAGGTCTTGGTTGGCAGAAGTTTTCCCTTTCGTTAAAGTTAAATATATATTTAAATAGTTATAAAATACATAAGGAAAAAATGGTGAAAATAAAATCCCAGATACAGAATACAACCTAGAAAAATTCCTTGCTGAAACATAGTATGAGACATGTACTATTAGTGGGCTTTTTCTGTTTTTTTATATTATTTATTAAAACGCATCTAGTTATTATATGAAGTTATCAACATTAGCGGTACCCCCAGGTTAAAGTAGGTAGGTTATATATTTCCTTTTAAATAGAGTAGTGTATTTTTGGAGCGGGGGTAGTCATGCCACGTGGTTCGTGTTCCCAGGGTATATTTATTTTCTTGCCCGGATAATGTAAATATTTGATTTGAGGAATTAAAGTAATCTCCAATAGTGTCTCCCTTTAGGGGGGGGAGTAACATTGTCAACATTGTAGCTTGTTTAATTTTCTTTTTTTTGTTTTTTTTAATTGGTGCCTTTGGATTTAGATTCCAGGATTGTAAATTTAGTTTTAAAAAAAAGCACTGCATTAGATTTAGCAGCAGTAGAAGAGAGCGTGGATAATTTGCTATGTCCCAGGTTAACCAGTCTACGTTATGATTAGTTGGCTCCAATCAGAGACCGTAGGGTCATCTGGTGGGCGATTCTTTTTTTTTTTTGCTTTGTTCTTATTGTTCTTTTTCTGTTGTTGTTTCTTGCATTACTGTTGATACTTTAAGTTCTAGGGGTTGACATGGGTGCAAGTACATGATGGCAGTTGGTTTACAGGTATGGATAGTGCGTGGGTGGTGGCGGAGTGGGTTGGCGTGCGGTGCACCCATCAACTCGTCAGCACCCAGTCAGGATCGTCAGGTGCGTGCAGGTATATGACTCGCAAGTGCATCGCCTGCCGCGCGTGGCCGCCTCCCCCTCCCCGGTGATAGCCCGTGTGTAGAGTGGTGTTTCCCTTCCGGGGGAGTCCGAAGGAGTTCATTGTTCAGTTCCCACCTATGAGTGAGAACATGCGGTCCCTCCCCCGTCCCCCTCCCCAGATAGGCCCCTTTTTCACATTATAATTTGTTTTCAAAGTGTAACTAATGTTATCTCCAGAAGTACCAGATATCACATAAAACTTATTTCACTTTCACAAAACCTAACTATGCTACACAGTGTAATACAGGGGGTATTCCGGTTAAAGCTTTACGAAATGCAGGATTCTATGTCTTGGCATTACATTAAGAACCTCCAAGAAGAATGTCTTAGGAAAAGACTATTTCTTGGTACTTTTCCTACCCAGGATATTTGGGTAGAATAGAATGTCTGACCATTGTATTTTTGGACTGAAGTATATTTAAATAGCTTTTACATATGCCACGAATTGAAAATAACATCTTAATTTGAGAATAATAAAAGAGGAGGATAAAAGTAAACCCTCTGCTAGGTGTTAATACAGATCTAAGACATTAAATGATACTTTAAGTAAAATTGGTGAAATACACATCAAATAGTAGAAGTGTGATCAGGCACTTCTAGCAAAAGTGATAAATCATGTATTAAAATTTAAAATGACTATAGTTCATTTATTTATTCATTCAACTAATATTTTATTACACATTGACTATACAGCAATAAAAACAACAACAAAAAGTCTACTCTTTCTTCTCTCCCAGAACTTAAAATTTGTTTAATAATGCTACTGCAAAGAAAACAATCAGATTAAATGATGATGAAAAACTTGAAAGAGCACTGATCTTAGAGTCCTAAGAGCTGAATCAAAATTTCATGTCTACTAATTGCTAGGCAAGTGATACTGGATACATCAACTAATTTCTCTAAACCTCAATTTCACACCGTGAAAAAATGGTGTATGCTATTACCAGTCTGGTGTATTTCATCAGTTAATTATAAGGATCACAGAGAAAATATTCAAACATTCCCTAAAAACTCTAAAACTTCTATAATCACAGGCTTGCACTATTACCTAAATGTATGGAAAGCTATCAAATTTCTTGCAATAAATAATTTTAGTTGATATTGACAGTATACTGAGTCTATGTGGCCAGACAGTAAAGACTAATGCTAACTGTCAAGTACATTAACAACATCAAATGACACATATGCTAGGGTTTTGGCCTTTTTCCATTTAACCATCCTAATTTCACCTGGATTTCTTCTACATGTCAATTTATGCTCATATTCACAAGCAACGTTCCAGCCATAGGAAGAGCAAATGAGTCAGACAGACTTCTATCAAACTTCCAATCTAAGCAACAACTGCCACATGTTTCTTTATTCTTCAGGACATGTGTTTGTCAATCCTGTTAGAATCTTAACAAATAATGGAACTTTCAAAATAAAAACAAATGCACTTAGTAGAAGAAAATAACAATTACTGTAATTGCAACCACATTAACTTGACTGAGTTTTTGTTTAAATTGCTTCTGCGCTTCTGATGAAAACCACTGTTCTTAAGAATAATGAAGTGCTTAAGACATGACTGAAAAATAAAACCTCAAAATTAAACCCATGAGGAAAATAAATTTAACATGGCATAATTCTGGTTTGCAAAAATACTGTCAGATAATGAACCCAAATCCATATGAATCAATGGTAAACACTATGCACAAGAAACAGTTAATACCTATAGGTGCTCCGTGAAATAGTGGAATCCAAACTGTCTGTCTCTTTTGGGTTGGAGAAATAGAATAATCCTGCTTTTCCTCAAACACTGGCAAACATATACTATGATAGCTAAAAGTCAACTTAATCCTCCCTTTCCTGCCTCAAAATAAAAATAAATACGCCATCTCAGACCTAAGATGTGATATCCCTTTGTGGGTTTTCATGAAAGAGAAACACTCAAGACAATGATCATAGGTGGATGGGCTTTGTGTAATTTTCAATCACATAACCTTGTTTTAGAAAGTAGAAATGAAGAGGCCAGACAACTATGGATAAAATTCTGGCAGTGGCTGTACTGTGCTCTGATTATTTTTTATTAGCATTGGTTGTATCAGGGCTGAAGCTTCTTGGCATTTTCCATACAAATCCACTCCCACCGAGTATTCTGGAAGCACAGTAACTTTATCAAAAGGTAGAATCACATTCCAGAGCATGTCATCTGTCACCTCTCATCACCTCATCATGCCCCGTGTCCACACTTTCTGTCTTTTCTCTCTCCCAGCTCTTCTTCTGCAATAACTGACAAATCCTTCCCTTTGTCCTCATGCAGAAGAGTTTGGCACATGCCATTTTTCTCAAGGTGTGATTTTTTTTTTTTTTGTCATTCACCAATATTTAAAATAAACTTTACAGCCAATAATAGAAGGTGAAAAAGGAAGCAAGATAAAAAACAAAAACAAAAACAAACATGAATGTCTCAAAAGTAAATAGGGGGCTGGGTGCAGTGACTCACGACTGTAATCCCAGCACTTTGGGAGGCCAAGGCGGGTGGATCATGAGGTTAGGAGTTCAAGACCAGCCTGACCAACATGGTGAAACTCTGTCTCTACTAAAAATACAAAAATTAGCTAGGCGTGGTGGCACGTGCCTGCAATCCCAGCTACTCAGGAGGCTGAGGCAGGAGAATCGCTTCAACCCAGGAGGTGTAGGTTGCAGTAAGCTGAGATTGTGCTACTGCATTCCAGCCTAGGAGGCAGAGAGATTCCATCTCAAAAAAAAAAAAAAAAAAGTAAATAGGGGGATAGCTCCCATTAAATCACTCAGCATCCTGTTATTGAATGGGTCCTCCTGCAAGGGACCAACAACAATGTCAGTGACTTAACTTACTTATTAACTCAAAATAAGTAACTTAAAACTTCAAAAACTTCAAAACTGGAGTGCAAACTTTCACAGATGAACCACTACAGAATCAATGCCACTATATTGGGGCAAGCAGTGTAAATTTTTAGACCTCAGAAATACTGAATGGCATCGATACATTTTCATTTCTTACTCATTCCTACCTGAACATCTGGGCTGATGTCATTTCATGTTTAAGAATAGGGAATTTGGCAGGGCGCAGTGGCTCACGCCTGTAATCCCAGCACTTTGGGAGGCTGAGGCGGGTGGATCACTTGAGATCAGGAGTTCGAGACCAGCCTGGCCAACATGGTGAAACCCCATCTCTACCAAAACTACAAAAAAAAAAAAAAATTAGCCAGGTGTGGTGGAGGGCACCTGTAATCTCAGCTACTCAAGAAGTTGAGGCAAGAGAATTGCTTAAACCCGGGAGATGGAGGTTGCAGAGAGCTCAGATCGCACCACTGCACTCCAGCCTGGGTGACAAGAGCAAGACTCCGTCTAAACAAACAAACAAACAAACAAACAAACAGAATAGGGCACTCAGCTAGGCTTACCGGGAAACTGAGTGGAGATTTTCCTCTGTGACCAGCAAGTGATTGTGAATTAAAAGGATTGGTTGCCGAACTTAAAAACCTACTTGTGGGACATTAAAAGCCTCTAGCATGTATCACCTTTGGACTTACTTGTATTCCTGTGACTTTGGTCCCCTGGAAGAGAAGCATCCGTAGTCCAGGCTGGAATGTGCTGGTCGGGATGTGCAGTAGAAATCACAGTGCTCTGGTTATAAATTGTATTTGTAAGAATAACATCGGACCCTTGGATTTCACCATCAGTGACCAAAGGTTCACTCCCATTTGATTTAAAATAGACCTTTTGTAATGTTCCTGAAAGATAAAAACAAAACAAAACAAAATCCTATGTTTGAAACATTAATAGAAGTATTTATTTTAAAACACATTAAGAAAACTCTAGAGCTACTTTCCCATATGTCATTCTAACCAGGTAAACACAAAGACAAAGATGAAAGCCACAGCAATGACCTCCTTTTTGGGGTCAACAACCACAAAACCAAGAGTTTCTTTTCTACCACAAATCACACAGCCCTGTGATGAAACATGGCTTTCTCATGAGCCAATGGTTTAGAAACTGAGTCTCTGATCAAGGTTTCCTGGTGCTTCAAAAATTTAGGGCAATTCTACCTCCCCCAAGACTCACCACAAATAAAATGTGGTGAATCTTACAGCATTTTCTTCCTGCTTCCTTAGTTTCTTAATCTCACTGGTCATTGTATGCTACTCAGGACCCAGGACATGTGCTCTATCGCTCACTGTATCTGTCATCCAAGGACACAAAGGTGCTTGCCATCAGCTTATTTCCCACATTTTGCACTAATTTTCAGTAAACTATGCATAAACTCTGCATAATACGCAAATAAAAAATAGGAGGGCTCATACATTTATCAAAACTTGTATCATAGGAACCAAAAAAAAAACCCTCTAAAGCACAAACTAAAAGAAGAAAATATCTTTATCTTCGACCAGAAAATAAAAATATAACTATATGAAATAAGAAATACTCATTTAAAAATTTTTACTTCCATAGGTTATTGGGAAACAGGTGGTGTTTGGTAACATGAGTAAGTTCCTTAGTGGTGATTTGTGGGATTTTGATGCACCCATGCACCCCGCGAAGTTTGGCACATGCCATGAGCAGTATACACTGCACCCAACTTGTAGTCTTTTATCCCTTACCCTCTTTCCACACTTTCCCCCTGTGTCCCCAAAGTTCATTGTGTCATTCTTATGCCTTTGCCTCCTCATAGCTTAGCTTCCATTTATGAGTGAGAACATATGATGTTTGGTTTTCCACACTCATTAAACTAAGATTATCAACTGGCCACTTTCTCAAGGTATCCATTCATTGACAAAACAAAGAACCAAACCTAAGATTATTGAAAACCACCTTGCTTTGTCTTTAGGAAGAAACTTTTGAAAACTTGGAAAGAGATCATGTATTTTTAACTCAGTCAAAATAGACAGCAGGTTTTGTTTCCAGAATATTGCACTGTACTTGAGCATACCACGAAAATAAATAAATGTGATATTGACCCATCCATAGAAATACCCAAGGGAGATTTTCTTTTCTAAAAGCATTTACAGTGAATGCTCTAATTGGCTCTCACTTTTCTAAATAGTCCCAAGGACCATTAAAAATAAAAGAAATATAAATAAAATGTTTAATATCAGTGTATGGAAAAAATTTCTCTACATATGCTTGACACTTGGAAAACATTAACTACAAATAAAAATAGAAAAGCAGCTGTTTCTAGCTAACTGAGATCAACAGTTTCCTCTGCCAAAAGATTCTAAATAAAACATTGAAGCATAAAAGCTAAATCATGATGACGTATTGCAGGTAACATGCTCTCCAAACTGTCTGTGTGATCATGAGTAAAAGTCAATGCAGTAGGTAAAATGAAGGAATTCATTTAATTCTTACTGATTTTCACAATGATTTACAATTTATCCTAATCAAAATAAATGTGATAGGCTTAATTACTATAGGAAATGTATTTCATCCATACAGAATAATTTACTAATCAATGACCTATAATTTTACTTACATCCATTTAACTGCTCTCTTCCTTATTTTTGGCTTAAAGAGATTTTTTCCATAAAATGGTATTTATGCTACTGTGGTTGTAATGAATATATAGGCCCTTAAGTTGATTTACTTAATCTTGCTGAACCTGTGAGTAGGAATCCAGTTCTGTCAACATACTTTTAGCAAATGCCAATTGTTCACGGTTGTATCCTCAAGTAATTCCCTTATAATGAGTTTCTTGTCATATAAAATATTTCAACAGTTGTTCCTTTTTGGTAATAATTAGCCTTATTAATAATCTTTCCTTTATCATTTTAACCAAACAGTGTTTAAAGTGTTCATAACATCTGGCTGGGTGCAGTGGCTCATGCCTATAATCCCAGCACTTTGGGAGGTCGAGGTGGGTGGATCACCTGAGGTCAGGAGTTCTAGACCACCCTGACGTGAAACCCCATCTCTACTAAAAACACAAAAAACAAATTAGCCGGGCGTAGTGATGGGCGCCTGTAATCTCAGCTACTACGGAGGCTGTGGCAGGAGAATTGCTTGAACCCTGCAGGTAAAGGTTGCAGTGAGCCTAGATCACACCATTGCACTCCAGCCTGGGCAACAGGAGTGAAATTCTGTCTCAAAAAAATAATAATAAATAAAAATAAAGTGTTCATAACATCTGTTTATCCTAAGAAGTCCTCTGAAACATCGACATTTTTAAGAAAACACTGACTTGGATAACAACTTTCTTTTAAAAAGGTAGCTTCATTACTCTTAAGCTTTATGTATTGAAAGCAATTTGGCAGAATAAAGAGAAAGATAATATTTGAGAGGCACTGTAGTTAATGTTTTCAAAGTATATTTTGTGGGGAGAGAAAGAGAGAGAGAGAATAAACTTAAAGGACATGTCTTTAAAAGCCTGAACTCACTGGACAACTTGCTTTCAAGTATCTCTGGAAGCTGACCAACTCCCAACACAGTTGGTTGTCTACAATGCATTTTTTTTAAGTGCAAGTATTATAACTCAATAAAACTAAATGCTTTCAACCTGTATCATGATGAGCTATAAAAATGCTAAGAGATATCAGCCCAAAGTAGAGTATTTTTTCTTCTAATACTGCCTCATTCTTTTCTACATTTCTGTGTTTATTGCGCTATGGTTAAAAGTACAGGTTCTACAGCCTGACCACCTGAGTTTAAATCCCATCTTTACCACTTGCCCTGAAACTTTGGACAAAGTCTCAACTGCCGTAAAAGGAAGGAAAAATAAAACACCTGTTTATGGGGCTGGCCGTGGTGAGACAGCCAAATAAAAATGGCTCCCCGGCAGAACCTCCGACTAGTCTGGCACTGGTAGGAGCGCACAATGGGGTGGAGCCTCAGAAGGTTCACACCGTTTGCAGAGGGGTGGAGCCTGGCCTCTCCTGTTCCGGGGTGGTATCTGGGACTCAATTTGTGAGGCGGTAAACTGGCTAGCAGGAGTCCCACTTTGCTGAGAATCCCTGTTTCCCTTTTTTTTCCTTTTCGCCCAATAAATTCCAGTTTTCTCACCGTTCAAAGTGTCTGTGAGCCTAATTTTCATAACTGTGTAACAAGAACCCAGCTTTTAACTGAACTAAGGAGAAGTCCTACAACATTGGGATCAAATCAGCCAATACCTATATAAACACTTCGAATGGCTCCTGGCACTAAGTTCTCCATAACTGTTAGTCATTACTACACATTGATGGTAATCACAATAAAATTGTCTTCTTTAGGGCTACTAAGGTACTCTCAGATAAATATCAATTTCATTTTACTATAAGTGGATCCCAGTATCGCAAAATGGCTAATTTTCAGAAGTGAATCACTTAACCCAAATTTGGAGTGAGAAAATTATGGCTTTTTCATGCTAAATTATTAATAGAAAGTCACTTTGTATTAAGATAGTCTGGCTCAAAAGTGTTTCAGCTATATAGCCAAAAAAAAAATTTAATTATATTTAAGAAATATTATATAATTCTAATAATAATAAAAGTCAAACTTTACTGATTCCTTGTAATGAAGAGATTGGGCACTGTGGTAGGGAGAATAATGCTCCCCCAGAGATGACACATCCCAAAACCTAGAACCTGTGAATATTCTGCTTTACATACTTTACGTGGTAAAAGGGATGTTGCAGATGTGATTAAAGTAAGAATTTTGAGATGAAGAGACTATCCTGGATTATTCAGGTGAGCCCAATATAATCACAAGGGTCTTTATAAGTAGAAGAGGGAGATAAGAGAGTATGTGTCAGGGTCATGAACTGTGAGAAAAACTCAATGGACCATTGCTTGTTTTGAAGATGGAAGGAGCCACAAGCCAAGGAATACAGGAAGCCTTAGAAGCTAGAAAAACCAAGAAAATAGATTGTCTCTTAGAGTCTGCAGAAGGAACACCTAAATTTTGCCCAGTGAGACCTATTTTGAACTTCTTAACTCTATGATAATAAATTTGTGCTATCTTTTTAAGCTACCAAGTTTGTGGTAATTTGTTACAGGAGCAATAGGAAATTAATACAAGCACCTTGCTAAGTTCCCTCACTATAGGAATCAACTGAGTTAACCTTCCAATAATCCTATAAACAGATAATAGAATTAATCTTTTTGACAGTTTTAGAGAGATGGAAACTGAAGTTTATGAGAGTGAATTAACTTGCCCAATATTTGAGTTGGGACATGACAAAGAGACATATACATATACCCACATACACTTTTCATTTTGGACAAAACATACAGGTTGTAAAAATCAACCATCGTGTGCTTGCAGAATTTATCTTCCTATGATGTGATTTTAAAATTAATTTCTTAGCTTTGTATCTTTAGCCATGTGAAAGACATTTACTTTGCACTTTCTATGTGCCAAGAACTTCATACTTACTCTGCTGAGAACACAATATTTAGTAAGAGGTCCTTACTATCGAGATGTTTATAGATTAGTTGAGGGAGACAGGCATGCAATCTAAAAAATGTTAATATAAACTATGGTACAAGCGCTTTGAGAATGATATGCATAGGACAATCTGGTAGCAAAAAGTAGAGAGATTGTCCTCATTCCATTTGAAAAAGTCAGGAAAGCCTGTTTAGAGAAAAGTATCCTAAATGTGAATCTTAAAAGCTGATTAGGGATTTTCTAGGTTTAAGCAAAGTATTTGTAGGGAGGAGGGTGGCGTGGCAATAGGGAGTGAAATATTTTCTAGATAAAACAAAGGGAAAAACATACGAAAAGGCCCAGAAGCAAGTAATTAAAAAATATGGCTAGCACACAG